TGGATCCGAAGGTGAATGGGTAGCCAGTGCAGGGAGGCCAAAACTGGCGTGATGTGCTCTCTATAGCCTGTACCAGTTAAAAATCGGGCTGCAGCATTTTGGACCAGTTGTAGACGAGCAATGGAGGACTGACTGATTCCAAACAGAAGTGAATTGCAGTAATCAAGCCTAGATGTTATGAAGGCGTGGATCACTGTCTCAAGGTTCTTTTTGGAGAGTATAGGCTTCAGCTTAGACAGCCGTCTCAGCTGAAAAAAACAGGATTTTACCATCATGTTTACGTGACTGTTGAGTTTTAAGGACGGGTGCATTATCACCCCCAGATTAGTCACCTTTTGTTTCTCTAGCGGGGCTAGAGAGAAAAGGTCAATGTCATGGTTCATGAGTGAGCCACTGGGATGGAACAGCATGACTTCAGACTATATATATATATATATATATATAATATATATTATATATATTTTATATATGTAATATATATATATATAATATATATTATATATATTTTATATATATATATTATATATATATATATATATAAGCTCTTTACATTTAGTTTCGCTGCTGATGCCTTGGTGTGGACAGGACTTCAGGACCCAGAGAAGGAGAGTGGTTCTGCTGGTCTTTATGGATCTTTAGGACAGTAATGAGAGTAGGAAGTGAGCCACTTCAAAGGACAGTCCCTGAAAGGATGAACAGGATGTCAAAACACAATACAGACTATATTATTTTCATTCAACAAGGAAGTAAACATCTGTGTGTTCTCCCATCCATGGTTTGACTGCTGGTGGTACTGGACCACAGGAGCCATAGTGTGCAGGATGTACCTGTGGTATTTCTGTCCCTTCCTTCTCTGGTATTCTCTTTCATCTACTGTCCACACAGCTCCTTTTCCTCCCTCAACACGCACAAAACACTTGTGAAGGCTGAGGTTGTGACGAACAGCATTCTGGAAATAAATCACAAGGAGAGAGAAACTTGTTTTTAGTTTCACTGCAGTATCTTCACGTGAATTCAAATGAACCCTTGGAAAACCAAATGGGCCACACATTTATGTTTGTCCATGTTGGAGCATATATTAATTTATTTTGGTGCAGTCAATAAACATTTTTTTTGACAAAGCCTTAAGTCCTTCTACTTTTTTATTTTGTCAGAATTGTTTCAAATGATTTCATAACCTCACAGTAACTTTACTACATTATTGTTTATTTATCAATTTAATTATTTTTAATATTTATGTTGTTATTGGTATTTTCTTTTCATTGTTTTCAGGTATATGACCATATGTAGTGTGTGTGTTTGTGTGTGTGTGTGTGAGTGTGTGTAAAACTGGAAACTGTCCAACTGTATTGCCCTCTGGGGATAAATAAAGTTGTCTGAATCTGAATTGTCTTCCTGAGGTGAAAATCCTCTACATTATAAGACGCTGTATAAAATATATGACTGTTTTTTTCTTTTACATTTTATTGTTGGATGTAACTGGCACCCTGTGTACACAATTTCGTTCCACCACTGGTACCACATGGGGTGCGAATGACAAATAAAGAATCTTGAATCCTTGAAAACTTTTTATCCCATATTTGTTAGATCTTTAAATAATTAATTCCTCTCAGTAATATATTTTCTTTTTACCTCTATCCCTATACTTTAGATTTTTATATATTGGCTCACAGGTGTTCTTCTAATTTTATATATTTCTGTTTGTCTCTGTAAGAATCTACAGGAACTGAGTTCATCTCACTCTGGAAGCAGAACCTTCCATCAGTCTGACGTCGTCCCACCTCTCATCTCGTTCAACAAAATTGTTTTAGTTTGGATGTAAAGAGCAAAAACTCACTTACAACGTACACAAGTAACCATTTAGTACTAAAAAGCTGTTGCACATGCATGCAGGCTGCAGAATCAGACGTTCCACAGCAGACAGTGGTTGGTTTTCCTAAAGCAGGACATCATTAGCAGGAGAGCCGGGCTCCCACAGTTTGCTCATATATCTGGATACGTGAGCGAATCAGTACAAGCAAAAAAACTATTTAGAAACTTTCAACCACGGGTAGATTTAATTTTTAAAAATGTGTATTTATATATATATACATTGTCCAAAAGAACAAGAACTGTCATAAAGTTAAAGGTACTTCCAGGGGTTAATGAAATAACTGTGTAGAGATGAGTGTTTATCACAAACCTTCCATGTAGCAGTGTTGTATCTGAAGTAGAAGAACATGGTGGTGAACCAGTTGTAGATTTCATTCAGAGACCGCTGTTTGTCTGTAGACTCCAGGATGGACTGACATAAAACACAGCAGTTACAACAAAAACTCACAGCTGACTGCTGCTGGAAGTGCATGCATTCTTTACCATAACTGTGTTAAACTTGTGAGGTAAGTTTTGTTTTAGTTACCCATCTTATCAAGTAAGCGTAGGTGTAGGGTGGCCTGATGTTGCTGTATTTGTAGCATTCAATAGTCGGGACCAAATCTGGAAAACAACAGGACTTTTAAATGAACAGACCAACTTATCCAGGTGATCCTCTCAGCTACCTGTATATAAACACAGAAGGTTTGTGAAAAATATAACAAAAACCCAACCACCCATCCATCCATCCATTTTTTTTACCCGCTTTTCCTTCCCAGGTTGCAATGGGTTAAATGCAGAGAACTAATTTCATCATTGGGTGTCCAAATACTTCTTTAAAATGTCTTCAGTTGATCCAAAATGCTGCTGCCAGAGTCTTAACTGGAGTTAGTAGGAGAGATCATATTTCTCCAGTTTTGGCTTCTCTCCATTGGTTCCCAGTCAAATCCAGAATAGAATTCAAAATCTTACTTCTAACCTACAAAGCTCTCAACAACCTAGCTCCATTTTATATTACAGATCTTATCGTTCCATATTTTCCTAACAGAGCACTTTGCTCTCAGACTGCAGGTTTACTTGTGGTTCCTAGAATTTACAAAAACAGAATGGAAGGCAGATCTTTTAGTTATCAGGCTCCTCTCTTGTGGAACCAACTTCCAATCTCTGTCCGTGAGGCTGACACATTGTCCAGTTTTAAAACTAGACTTAAGACTTTCCTTTTTGATAAATCCTATAGTTAGGGTCGGCTTGGGTTTCCTGAGCTGTCCCTTAGTTATGCTGCTATAGGCTTAGACTGCTGGAGGACAAACTGATCACACTTTTCACTCTGCTACTGTCTTTACTTACTCTGCTCAACCTGTTTTGTATTTGTAATTATTTTTTCTATCCTTAACATGTGGGGGTTTTTTGTCTTTCAGATACACCTGGACCTATACCTGGACCTACCATTCTATGTTCGTCTGTCTCTCCTTCCCGTCCTCTAAAATCAGACGGTCAAAGCAGATGGCCACTTGTCCTGAGCCTGGTTCTGCTGGAGGTTTCTTCCTTTTAAAAGGGAGTTTTTCCTTTCCACTGTTGCCACTGTGCTTGCTCAGGATGGGAGACTGCAACAAAGCCAAGATTCAACTTGTCTGCTGGATTCCTTAGATAGAGAACTTTACTAATTGGCTTTTATGTTTGTGAATGTTCCTGTAAAGTGCCCTGAGACAACTTTGTTGTGATTTAGCGCCATATAAATAAACTGAATTGAATTGAATCATTGTATGGGAACATACCATGATGACAACATATAGCACCTATACTAATCATGTGACTTTCTTGCTGAGAGACAACTTTAATGACTATGCTGCGTGTTACTGAAAACGTTAGTGACAAATTATAATGCTAATTTGTAAACTAAGAGCTGACTCTGGAGCAGACCCAGTGCACTCTGGAGTGATTAAATCAAATTCCTGGGAACAGTTCAGCAGCTTAGCAGCTAAATATTGACAGGAAGGTTTGGGGTTTTCACCTGGACCTGTTACCTCAAAATCCTAACTACAAAGAACATGGATACATAATGGACGGCTGGATGGAGAGACAGAGAAACAGATTGATCTGGTTGGTTCCCATCATCTATATATTTTAAACACTGCTTTTCCTTTTCTTTACTGTAGTCTTCTAGGTCTCACGGTGCACACTATGCATATTGTACTGTTAGGAATTTGCAGAGTGGGAAGGGAGCTTTTCTATTTTTAGAGTTTAAAAAATTTGTAACTTTTTCATATTTGATTTTATAACTTGTGTTTTGTTTTATTAGCGACTTATACCAAAGGTTCAAGGGCAACAACTAGAAAACAACCTATTGGATAACCCTGGTACATTTAAGTAGTGTTAATTAGTGCACACTGTTCGAAACAAACTAATAAAAACAAGCGGGACACAGATGTCTTCTGTCTCTGAGGAATTTGAACAGTGAATGTTTGTAGTTTTGTACATGAGTGTTTTTCTAGATTGGAATTGAACGGGAAATGCAATTAAATCTTAATGTTTTAGTGCGAGATATTCAAGTGTGTAGGAGTTACACTGTGAAGAACAGAGGTAGATGTTTTTTTGTTTGTTGGTTTTTTGTGGGGGTGGGGAAGGCATAGTGGCCTTAACCATCACGGCTTCATCTTCGGCCACACAAATGATTTGTGTGGTCAGTTTACTTATGGCAGCAGCCATTGTGGATTTTGACTTAGCAACCCAAATTTCAATAAGGACATTTCTTACACCTAGATGCAGCCTCACACCAAAATGGAAGTCAGTGCCTCCCTTATTTTTCAAGTTATTATGCTCACAACATGCACAGATGAATGGATGGATGGAGGGTGTTTCCAATTCCCCCTCTTCGCTCCATAATGGGGGACAAAAGGACCGATCCTGAAGACAGACCAGAAACTGCTGAGCAGCCAGAAATAAAAAATAAAAAAAAAGAGGAAATCTAGACTTCCAATCTATTATAATATATAAAACAGCCTGGATTGTAAACAATGACCAGTTTCTTTGACACCAGGAAAAAAAATCCACTAGATACAGTGTACATAAAGAGTATTCACCCTCTTGGATGTTTTATGCTTTCACTGCCATCATAAATCAGTTATAGTCAATATAAATGGGCCGTTTTAAAAAATAAATAAATAAAACCCCTCAATTTCAAAATGAAATCACATTTCTTCAAAATTAAACAAAGTGATGCATCAATATTCACCCCCTTCAAAGTGACTCTCTTAATTCAACTCAGAAAATATCAGCGGATGCATAAAAAATTTATTCCACAGGAATTCTGGTAAATCCATCATTTTGAAAATGAAAAGAATATAGAACGTGTAAATCTACAGAGAGTGGATTGTTCCCAAAATCTGAGAGATCGTGAAGAAGAATGAGAAAGACCACAAATACACCTGAAACCTCTCTGAAGGAGGTATAATGGGGCCGAGATGGGGTAGAGGTACAGCAGCCGACCTGGGACCAGAAAGTCACGGTTCAACTCCCAGCCATTCCCACATGTCGTGGTGTCCCTGAGCAAGACACCCAATCCCTAAATTGCTCCCCAGGCGCTCAATAGCTGCCCACTGCTCCACCTGGGTCGGTGTATCCCAGGTGTGATGGGTTAAATGCAAAAAAAAAAACAATTTTGTCATTGTATGGGAACATACAACGATGACAACACAAAGCACTTATTATATATTCAGCAGGTGAGATGGGAGAGACTGAGCATACATACAACCGTTACCCTGGTTCTTCACTAGTCTGAGCTTTATGAGCAACAAGAAAGCCACTGTAAAAGAAAACTTACAGTTAATTCCAATTAGAGTTTGCCAAGCATTAGCTCTTGAATCAAGATAATGGTTCTTAAGTACAAAGAGGTTTAATTACAGTGACCTTAAAGTCCTGTGGTCCTAAATCATCCAATAAAGACACATCAGGCAGATCCAAAATGGGATGTAATTTACCACCTGTGAACCGTGCTGCCCATTTTATTTTCATAATTCACTAAAACAAACAAAATATTCAAGGTGTTACCTGGGAGAAGATGGTCAGAACCAGTTGCTGTGTGACTACACTGGACTAACTCATCCACATGGGTCACGCTCCATGGCTGCACTCTGTCCACATTGGTCAGCTGAGAGGACGGCAGCAACAAAGGAAGACGGTAAGACCAATTGGATGTTACCTTCTAAGAGAATGTCAACATATAAGTTTCTCTTATATTTGCGATAAGAAATGTGTACTTTGCTAAAAAAAATTGTCTATACTTACCATCTCAGAGTATCTGTGTTCAGAGAGGTGAAATTGCATCGCAACGAGTTTCTGTTTTTCTAGAACAAGCTGAGAAAAGAGAAACACCCACAGATGAATTCACATCAAAAAGTGTTTAAATGTGGTTTCAACCTACAGAGTTCAGGCTGACGTGGACAGTTACTGGCATGCAGTGGTGAGCACAGACTCGCTAATCCACTAAAAGCCAATAGCGGAACAAATTTTTCTTTCAGTAGATTAGAGTTTTTGCTAACTTTGGAAACTGTTAGTAGAATTAGCTTCCGCTAAATTAGTTTTTGCCAGCTTTAAACCTGCTAACATATTCACAAGCTTGTTCTTGTCTGTTGCATGCATGTCTCAATAAGTGAATTAGGCATACTGTTGGCTTGCTACGTGTATGTGTCGTGATGTGGTTGATCAATGCACTGGATGGTGATGCAGACCGAGTGGCTATCGTCCTCCTCCCATTGGCCTTTCCTCCTCCTTCATCTTTGTGAAAAAGCAAAAGAGGAGTGTTTATCTCTGTCTCTGAAGAGGAAACATGACTCTCAACTGTCTGCAATTCATTTGCTGTAAAGAACAATTCAAAAGATTTGGATTGTTGGTGAACATCACATCTCTCCTACAGGGTATGCCAGCACAGTTTGTGAGGAATTGTGCAATCCATGATGAGGTTCAGCTCGCTGCTGCTGCATCATGTGTTTCTTCTATTTGAATATGAAATACAACCTTTCTGGGTTTTAAAAAAAAATCTAATTTGTTGAACTTGAAAAATCAGTTTGTAGTTCAAACCAGTGGATAAACATAACAATTTAATTGATTTTTTCTAATTCATCTTCTTTCGGCTTTTCCCTCTTCAGGGGTCGCCACAGCGAATCATCCTCTTTCATCTCACTCTGTCCTCTGCATTCTCTGTCCTCACTTCGACTACCTCCATCCATCCATCCATCCATTATCTTCCGCTTATTCCGCACTCGGGTCGCGGGGCAGCAGCTTGAGCAAGGAGGCCCAGACATCTCTTTCGACAGCCACCTCTTCCAGCTCTTCTGGGAGGATTCCAAGGCGTTCCCAGGCCAACCGAGAAACAGTTTCTCCAGCGTGTCCTGGGTCTTCCCCGGGGTCTCCTCCCAGTTGGACATGCCCGAAGCACCTCTCTAGGGAGGCGCACAGGGGGCATCCTTACCAGATGCCCAAACCACCTCAACTGGCTTCTCTCGACTTGGAGGAGTAGCGGTTCTACTCTGAGTCTCTCCCGAATAACTGAACTTGTCACCCTATCTCTAAGGGAGAGTCCAGCTACCCTGTGGAGAAAACTCATTTCAACCACCTGTATCGGCGATCTCATTCTTTCAACTACCTCCGTGTCCTCTCTGGACATGTCCAAATCATCTTAGTCTGGCATTTCTAACTTTATCTCCCAGTTGTTCAGCCTGTGCTGTACCTCTGATGATCTCATTCCCAATATTATCCATCCTTGTCACTCCTAAGGAGAACCTCAACATCTTCATTTCTGCCACATCCAGTTCTTTCTCGTCTTTTTGTCAATGTCACTGTCTCCAGACCATAAAACACAGTTGGTCTCACCACTGTCTTGTAAACTTTTCCTTTGATCTTTGCTGATACCGTTTTGTCACAAATCATTCCTGAAACTTTTCTCAACCCACTCCATCCTGCCTGGGCTCTCTTTTTCATCTCTTTACCAAATTTCTCATTTTCCTGAACAGTGGAAACCAAGTAAGACCTGTGCTCCTTGTAGCCTCACTGTTCCACTGGCCTCCCTCTCATTCACACACATGTACTCTGTCTTACTACAGCTGACTTGCATTCCTCTTCTTTCAAGTGCATACCTCCACCTCTCCAAGTTCTCTTCCACCTGTTCCCTGTTTTCAGCACAGATCACAATGTCATCTGAAAGTATCATATTCCAAGGGGATTCCTGCCTGACCTCATCTGTTAGTCAGTCCATCACCAGAGCAAACAAGAAGGGACTCAGAGCTGATCCTTGATGCAATCCCACCTCCTCCTTGAAGCTATCTGTCATGCCTACAGCACATTTCACCACTGTCCTGCTGTCCTCATACATGTCCTGTTTTGGATAGTATACCATACTTCTCTGCCACTCCAGGTTTACTCATGCAATTCTACACCTCCTCCCTTGGCACACTGCCATATGCTTTTTCTAAATCACAAAGACACAATGGAGTTCTTTCTGATTGCCTCTGTACTTCTCCATCAGCATCCTCAAAGCAAATATGGTATCTGTGGTGCACTTTCTCAGCATGAAACCATACTGCTGCTCACAAATAGTTACCTCTCATCTAAATCTTGCTTCCACAACTCTCTCACAGATCTTCATTGTGTGACTCATCAACTTAATTCCCATGTAGCTGCTACAACTCTGTACATTACCCTTGTTCATAAAAGTGGGCACCAGCACACATCTTCTCCATTCCTCAGGCATTTTCTCACCCTCGAATATGCCATTGAATATTTGAGTCAAAGACCTCACTGCCAAGACATTTCCAAACCTCTACTGGTATGTCATCAGGTTCTACTGCCTTCCCCTTCTTCATTCTTTTCCGAGCTTTCCGAACTTCACCCTCACTAATCTTTACCACTTCCTGGTCCACAGTTTCTATGACCTCCACTCTTCTTTTTTTTCTCATTCTCCTTGTTTTTTAGCTCCTCGAAGGATGCCTTCCATCTTTCCTTCACACTCTCCTCACTTGTTCAAGCATTACCATTCCTATCTTTGACAAGCCTAAACTGCTGCACATACTTTTCAGCCTGATCCCTCTGTCTCGCCAATCGGTACAAGTCCTTCTCACACTCTTTAGTGTCCAGCCTCACAAATAACTCATCATACACCTTCTGCTTTGCATTTACTACCTCCCTCTTTGCTTTACAATGCATCTCCTTATATTCCTGTCTCCTTTCTTCAGTCCTCTCACTGTCATATTTCTTCTTGGCTAACCTTTTTCTTTGAATAGTTTCTTCCAATTCACTATTCCACCGCCAGGTATCCTCTTTTACACAGAATGTAGTCTTCCTGTGTACTCCTTCCTCCACTCTTATGGGACCTTCTACTTCTACCTTCAGACAAATCACTCTATCCGACACTCTTTTCACCTCTACTACATTCTTTGCCAACTCCTTCTTCAGGACCACCCCTACTCCATTTATACACACACACACATTATATATATAATATATATATATAGTATACATATATATATATTATATATAATATATATACATATATATATATACATGCATATAATATATACATTATATATATGCATATAATATATATATATATATACACATATACATATATATATATACACACATTTATATATATGCATATAATATATATATGTATATATATATATATATATATATATACATATATACACACATATACATATACATATATATATACACATATATATATATAAACATATATATGTATATACATATATACATACATACATATATACATACATACATACATATATACATATATACATACATACATATATACATACATACATACATATATACATATATACATACATATATACATATATATACATATATATATATATGCGCGCGTGTGTGTGTGTGTGTGTGTGTATTTATGTGTGTATATATACTTTTTTCATGATGACAGGTGAGGCTCCACCTCTCTTAACCTCACGTCTTTGATTTATTCATACATTTATATGGCTTCATTGTTGTAGATAAAACTATAACAATAATCAAGAGCTTTACGGGTGTTGCTAAATCAATAAACAGCCATCAGCTTTATCTGTAAGAATAAAACGTTAGAATAATAAAAAAATAATGTTAGCCAATGCTATATCACTGGTACTAAAACCTCTAACATTATTCAATAGCTTTATTGCTGTCACCAAAAATTATAATGGTAGGCAACAGTTTTATTGTTGTCCCTAAAGACTCAAATGTCTGTCAACAGTTTTAGTCTAAAGCCCTAATATTAAGCAAAGGTTTTAACACTGTTACTAAAAATGTTATTAGTCAACTGTTTACTCACTCTTTAAAAACAGGGGGGCCGGTGCTTCGGCTCCCACTGGGCTGTTCCGATTCTTTTAATCTAGGTTCCTGGTTGCGATGGCCGGCACTTTGACCAGGGTGGCTGCCGGCTTTCGGCGGGGGGTCGGCTATGGTAGTGTACGTGTGGTCATTGGTGGTGTAGGGCGGCGGTTGGGGGCGTGGCTTCGCCTCATCAGGGCACTGGCTGGTCTTCCTGTGTGGCATTTGCGGTGGGGGTGCTGTGTGTGTGTGGGGGGGTGCGTAGGTGGCGTGCTGGGGCGTCTCCGGGCCTATGGTGCGGAGCTCTTGATGTGAGAGCCGACACTCCTCGGCTGCAGCTCCCTGCTGCTCTGCCCCTTGGGCTGGGGCTGGCCTGTGGTCGCTGTCAGGTAGATGGTGCATGCGGTCGGCCCGACAGAGATTCTGTCGGGCTATCTGTGTGTGCCTGTTTGTTGCTCAGGTTGGGTTTTTGGTGGTCCCCCCTCTCTTGGATCAATTTGGGCCCCACGTTTGGTGTGGGGCCCACTCCCCCCGGTCGTGCCCCCCTTTGGCAGGGGGGCCCCTTGCCGCTGGTGCATTGGTGGCTCTCGGCATCTGGGCTGGGTGGTGGGGTGTACGTCGGTCCGCCCTGGTTGCTGCTTGGCGGGGCCTGGGTGTCCTGGCTCTGTCGGGGCTCTGCTGGGGGGTGGTATGGCCTCAGGGCTTGGGGCTCGGTGTCCATGGCCAGATCTACTTGGGGGGAGGCATGGGTTGCCGGCCGGACCTGTGGGCTCGTCGCTGCAGCTTCCTGGAGGCTTTGCATTGTGGTTGCTGGGGTCACCCGGTTCTTTCCTCTGCTCCTCTCTGGGGGGGGTGCGGTTCTCCCTGTTGGGAGACTCCTGGGGCTCCGGGCCTGGGGGGCCGCTGTGTGTCTGTGGCTCCGGTCCTCCCTATGTTGCCATTGTGTCCTGGGGGGGCGGGTCTGTGGGCCCCCGCATCCACTATTGGGCATTCTTTTGGAGAAATCTGGTGGTGGCGGGCGTGCTTGCGCGGGTGTTTGGATTCAGGCGCTTTGACAGATGCACGCTAGGTTGGGTAGTGGTGGAAGCTAGATGATTCCTTGTTCGATGTCGAATGTTTCATGGTGATATTGTGGGTGGCATTGTGCTGTGCATGTTGCTTTGTCGTGGTGGTCTCTCGTTTTATCTATTTCTCTTTTATTTATTTATTTATTTATTTATTTATTTTTCTTATTTCTTCTCTTTCTTTAAAAAAAACAAACAAACTATAACTTAAGTTCATAGCTTGATTACTGTCAATGAAAGCTCAAATATTATTAATGGTTTTATTACTGTGTAAAAATTTACCTTAGCAATAAAGGCTGTAATATTAGTTAACAGTTTTATTACTGTTATTAAAAATTCTAAAGCTAGTCAATGGTCCTGTCACTTTTAATATTGTTAGTTAAGAATTTATTGCTGTCAGTAAAACCTCTAGCGTTAGTCAACATTGATATTACTGGTGTTAAAAGTCAAAACTTTGGACATTGGCTCCGTCATAGTTGAAACATTTATTTATCGGCTTTAGGGCTATCTCTAAAACCTCTATTGTTAGTTAACTGTAATATCACTTCCTATCAGCTTCTTAATATAGATACATTTTATTAATTGGCTTTTATAATGTTTGTGAATGTTTTTGTTCAGTGCCCTGAGACAAGTTCTCTTGTGATTTGACGCTATATAAATAAACTGAATTGAATTGAAACTCACTGGAGCTAAAAACTAAAACATTTGTTAATGATAGCCACAAAAAATTGTTAATGATGTTAGGGTTAGCTGACCCCAACACTAACCCTAACAATAAAAGTTTTTATTGACATATTCTTAGCCATTGTCTTTGGAAATTGTGTCGTTCTCGTGCTTTTAGGCCTTGCTGCTTTTGACACTGTGAACCATCAGATTTTATTCTCTGGTTTGGAGCAGTGGGTGGGTATTAGAGGCACAGCACTGGAGTAGTTCAAATTGTAACTGAGCAAGCAAACATTTTGTGTCAGCTGTTGTGATCATGCATCCTCCTCTGCCCCACATATGTGGGGCCCCAAAGGGTTCAGTTTTAGGGCCCCTTCTCTTTGTTTTTACTTACTTCTGTTTAATTCTATTTTTGAAATCACAGAATTTCTTTTCACTTGTATGCAGATGATTGTCAGGTTTATGTCACCATTACGTAAAAGGGTTCATTTTCATCTGAACCACCACTGAAATGTCTTGAGGACTTAAATACCTGGGTGGCTCTAAACCACTTGCATTTGAATAAGATTACTGAGGCTATTTTTTTTTTTTGGGGGGGGGGGGGGGGGGGGATCCACTGACACCCCCCATGCTCAATATATTAAACCAGTTATCACAAACCTGGGGTCAAAGTAGACACAGATGTTAAATTGGACAATCAAATCTAGGCAGTGGTTAAATCAAGCTTTTATCAGTAAAAGCAGCTGGTTAACATCAAGTCATTTCTTACTAAAACTATTGTCGAGACAGTAATCCACTCTTTCGTCACCACACAGATGGATTACTGTAATGCACTTTATATAGGGGTCAGTGCTTCCTCCATTGCTCACCTTTAGAAGGTCCAAAATGCTGCTGCACATCTTTAAACTGGCAAAAAAGAACAAGCACATTTCCCTGTTTTAACCTCACTGCACTGGCTGCTACTACAGCACAAGGAGCAGCTGAAGGCCAAAATATTCATATAATGATCACAAAAGGTAGGTGGTTTTGAAGGGGGGGTGCAGGAAGCCATTTATGTCAAACAATAAAGACTAACTCGAAACAGAAATAGAGATCTTCAGAAAGGTTTCAGCTTTCTAAATTTTACAATGGAGCATTACTGGATACCCAGTCAGTTTCACACCTTCATGCATGCAACCAAAACATTTGGAAGCAAAAAAAAAAAATAGCTCCTGTAATGTTAATATTACAAGGTTAAAATTACATTCACAAAACATTCATGATGTCACTTCAAATGTTTATTTCCCACCTGTTGTTCCATATACTGAACAATGTCCTGCTGGACCCTCCACTGACCAATACTTCTTTCACCATGTCTGTGTTCAGAACGGAGATGACTGGAAGACAAGGATTACTTTATTAGAACAATGTCTGGGGGAAAAAAAATGCAATTTTTTTTTTAGTGCAGATACAGGACTTTTTTTTTTTTTTTGGTGGGGGAGGATACACTGTTTTTCTAGCCCACATGAGATTGGAAAGCAGAAAATTTACACTGAGCTTAGGAATATTTAGTCAGTAAAATATAACCTTCTAAGTATTGTAATGCTATATGTCCTGAACTAATCACAAAGAACTGCATTTTGCTTCCTATCAAGACCATTTTCATTGATTGGTATAGTAATAGGTGACCACACTCACTTCGAGTTTCTGTTGTTAACTTCATGTCCAAGGTTGAATTTTGCCAGGTTGTAATATGGTTGTTGTAAAATGTGACATAACATGCCAACATGTCTGTGATACAGAAACATTTTAAATTACAAAATAAAAGCAGTTCAGTAGCTACTTGTGGTATTTGCAACTCGGGTACTTTGTGGCTGTAGTAATAGAGCTACAATCCATACTACCAACTGAATTGGACTTTTAAAATCCAAACACTTAGCTGAGCACTTAACTGAGTTCACTCAACTAACTCTTAAGGTTAACACAGATAAGGAACACACATTAGAGGAACGTCTAAAGAGAAATGACAAGTTTCCATAGAAAAGTAATAAAGCAAAATTGATTATAGAACAGGTGGCTAGATTTATCACTGTGGAATACCATCCCACCACAGTGGTGGGAAAAAAAAGCATTTCTTTTTCTGTTGGGGCCATGATACATCCTATTCTTCTAACACTACATAAGTGACACAGCTGTTTAAATCCTCAGGTATTGCTGTGATCTGTATTTTATTTATTTATTTATTTCTCTCTGTTGGCTCATTCACAAGACCCCTCCATCTAGAACTGAGGCGTGCTCTGGATGCCTCGGTCCTTTCAGAAGATACACTGAGATGGTGAGAGGGGTCGGAGACAACTGTTAGGAAATTTTTGGTCAAGGTTTATGGACGTTTTTAGCTACTATGACTGAAAATGTTAACTGCCCTGAAATGGTCTGATTTGAGGTTGCAGGTGTGCAGCTGCTGTTGTTGTTGTTCAAGGTCACCTCAGAATCTGTGATAAGTACAAGCTTTTCACACTGCCTGTGGCAGATTCACATGGCTGGGCTCCATGCATATATATTTTTTGTATATCTGTGTAACCTGTTGTAAAAATCTGTCCTTGCAAGTAAAATTGTTTAAAAATCTTCTTGTGCCCTCGAGTGTGGCTTCTTTTGAGTAAGTGAGGTAAACAGAGGATATTTTTATCCAACAAAAATCCACCTCTGAAGAGCATCTGTGTCGCTGAGCAGAGTAGTAACAAGGCCGGCCTGACTGACATGAAAAATAAAATCTCGCTGAAATCTATAATGTGACGCATTGATGACAATAGTATGTGACAGCAGCCAAAGGACCTGCTGGTGAACACCAGCAGTGATAGGTGCCTTAAGTTGAAGAAGGAGACCTTCAGTACTTGACTGTCCCCAAGGACTCCTGAAGCAGCAACCAGGTACAGGGTGGCCAGAGCGACAGCAGGAATGCAACATCTTGTGCATGGGAGGAATTTCAAGAGGTCATGTAGAAGGACTTTCAGTTAACCTCATGAAGGTTCTGGCAAACCATTTAGCAACTCCAAAAAGAATAGTGGATCCTTTCACAGGCTGCGTTGGGTGGGGAACTGCTGACCTGGACTAAGGATATTGTTAGTGGAAGGAGCACTTTGAGGGTCTTCTTAATCCCACTACCATGTCCAGCTTCGAGGAGGCAGAGTCTGAGGACTTGGGGGAAGACGAGTCCATTACCACAGCAGAGGTCACCAAAGTAGTCAAAAAGCTCTGCGATGGAAGGGTGCCAGGGGTGAAGGACATTCGCCCCAAGATTGGGAAAGGCACACACCTGTCTATATAATGTTCCACAGTTGACAGTGCATATCAGAGCACAAACACCAAGCATGAAGCCAAAGGAGTTGTCTTGAAACCTCTGAGACATGATTGTCTTGAGTCACAAATTTGGTGAAGGATACAAAAAAATGTCTGCTGCTTTGAAGGTCCCAGTGAGCACAGTGGTCTCCATCATTCATAAATGGAAGAAGTTTGGAAACACCAGGACTCTTCTTAAAGCTGGCCAGCCATCTAAACTGTTTGATCAGGGGAGAAGGGTCTTAGTCAGAGAGGTTATCAAGAACCCGATGGTCACTCTGTCAGAGCTCCAGTGTTCCTCTGTGGAAATAGAAGAAACTTCCAGAAGGACAACCACCTCTGCAGCAATCCACCAATCAGGCCTGTATGATAGTGGCCAGATTACCTCTGCTTGTCAGACTGGCCCCCCTCCTTCTCGGTTTTCAAATCCCATTTAAAAACTCACTACTATTCAGTAGCTTTCAACACCAGATGATCTGTGTTTTGAACCTGTATGCTCCACACTGGTTTGTCGTCATATTTATTATCTGCATCGTTTTTATGTCTATATTTTTGATTTACTTCATTTTGTATATTGCTTTGTGTGTTGTCTGTTGTTCTGTCTGTACAGCACTTTGGTTGACCTTGTAGCTGTTTTAAGTGCTCTATAAATAAAATGGTATGGCATGGTAGATGAAATCCAATCCTTAATAAAAGAAACATGGCAGCCCATCTGGAGTTTGCAAAAAGGCACCTGAAGAACTCAGACAATGAGAAACAAAATTCTCTGGTCTGATGAGACAAAGATTGAACTCTTTCTTGTGAATGCCAGGCGTCATGTTTGGAGGAAGCCAAGCACCGTTCATCACCAGGCCAATACCACCCCTACAGTGAAGCATGGTGGTGGCAGCATCATGCTATGGAGATATTTTTCAGTAGCAGAAACTGGCAGACTAGTCAGGATAGAGGAAAAGATGAATGTAGCAATGTATCCTGGAGGAAAACCTGCTCCAGAGCACTCGTGACCTCAGTCTGGGGCAACGGTTAATTTTTCAGCAGGACAATGATCCAAAGCACATGACATCTCAAAGGAATGGCTTCAGGACCGCTCTGTCAATGTCCTGGAGGGACCAAGCCATCATTCAAGCTTCAGTACAATGCCATGTCTGTAGCATGACATTTTTTTAACAAGTGGTTTAAATATCAGTATACTTAGAAGTCCACTTACTTTAAGAAACTGGAGAAATCTTCCAGTACTGCACCACAGCCTGGCCAGCAGCACAGACCACTCACAAACAGAGCGTTGGTCCCCTCACCAATGCTAGAAGAAAGAGATTGTCAAGTATTTCTCGGATATAAAATATATCACACAAAAGACTTAAAAAGATGGTGGCATTACCTAAAAAATTACTGTATGTCAATGTTGGTGATTTCATCAAGACATGCAACTACTACAATCTATAGTGCATGGCATGCATAATACTTGCTACATGCAAAATGAGGAACCAAAATCCCTACAGAGTTGAAGCTTACTTTCTTGTTGAGGGGAACTTTTACAGTAAGTATCCAACGGCTAAGAAAACTAGAGAAATAGCATTTCCTACGAAAATGCAGTGTGAATGTTTATTCCTGAATGAGTTTTGCTGAAAGCTACTGAACAATCTAAAACCAAGATTAAAAGGTTTTAAACTTTTTCCGTGAGCTGAATTTAAAAGCTGACACTTGCTGAAAGCAAGAAAATAAAAGTGAAAAGCAGAAGAAAGAGGCTGAACAGGGTGTAATTCACAAATCATTACACATTTGAATCTGGAGTATGAAGAGAACCTCAAATGTCATATGCACAGGCAAGATCATCCGTGCACTTGTGTTGACTTATCTGTCTGCAGCACTTGCATGTCATCAAAATTTATACAGTCATCTTATGTATATCTAAAATTGATTTAACTTTCCAAGGCAGCCTGATTCAAGATGGCTGCTACAGCGAATGGACTCTAAAAAACAAAATGGCTTTAATTCCGTTAATTTTACAAATATATGCTAAAGTGTCGTGGTTGACGCGTACAATAGTTCACAACCATTTAGAGCACATAATCCAAGCCCTCTGTATCGCACGACTTAAAAAAAATGTTTGCTTTTGTTTTTCTGATAGCACAATATTTTAGAAAGCATTGGACCATTGGAATCATCAATATGAATGAAACCCTTAGAAACAAACACATTAGCTGTACTTCTATGACCAATACATTTTGAAGGCAATCCAGTTCAGGAAACCGCCACAGGTAATGAAAATGACCCAATACAAAAATGGCTATAATTTAGTCAGTTTAACATATACTGAGCTAAAACTTGATGTGGTTTGAATCTGCAAGTCATTTGCAACACACTGAGCACATCATCTCACAGAATTGTATGAGATCATGCATGACAATTTTTTTCAAGGTTAATACAGCCGCAACTCTAGCATTTCTCAACGAGATGATCTTAAACTAAAACTCTAGCATTAAAGGTGGCAGGTGATGTGCCTTCCTTAAAGGAATGCTGAGCCTTTCATTAACTATGGAGTGCAGAGTAATTTCAGGTACTTAGGGTGGCACGTCTGAATTCTTTCCATCGCTCAGACAGTAAGTGATCCTGCTGAAGTCCGTTCCTTTTAATGATTTATGGTAAAGTAAAACAGTCACCCATCATGAAGCCTGGCCTGGATTGAAGCTGGTTTTGGATCACCTCTGCCTGATGGAAGGAGGTGAAGGTTCGGTCGTACAGACTCCATGGGGAGTGGAGATGGCGAAGGAAGATGGCCTGTTTCTTCCTCCTCCTTACAAAGAAAGACAGCTGCACTGTTCTCTGAGTGTATTAACAGAAGAAAACATTACTGTAGGCTTACAGTCTAATGGAACGTTTAGAAAATTAAAGAATGATAATACAACCAAGTATCAAATTTAAATTCTTCCCAATACTATTTAACATCATTTACACAATGGCTCTAATGTGTATGTGGACTCCTAAAACAGAATGAAATTAAATGTGCCTCTGGTTGATTTGGAGCTGCAGTATCTGCATACCTCGTTGTTGTCTGGAAGATGTTTGAGGAACTTGATGAAGAACGGATGGCCTCTGGTGCTTATCCCTTATTGTGTCTTCCATTCTGCTCCCTGCATGGAAAAATTACACACATTAGTAATAACATGGAAACTAAACAACTAGCTTTTTCTAGAACTAAAAAAACAATAACACGCTCATTAAAAGCCATCTTTCAATGGACATGAATTATTTTAACTCTGTTAGCACATTCCTCTGCTCAGAGAAAAATTCAGAACTACTTTTGGATCAGATAATATTGTTGCATTTATGTCAAGAAATTAACCGAAAGTCAAACAAAAAAAACCAAAGTACTGTATTCAGAGAGTTTTTATGTCACTTAAGCACTGTGAAATAGTTGATATTTTGTGTTAGGAAGTGGTAACATTTGTAACTGTGTTGTTGTGTGATGCTGCATGTTGCACGCCTGACTTCCTGATGAATGTGGCGACACCAGGTTTCTGGTTTGAGGTTGTGGGAGGGGGATTCATGTCGCTCAGGCATGTGCAAAAGAAACATGCAGGGTATGTTTGTTCTCTGAGGTACAATATTGGTTTGAAGAAGTACATTTAGTAGGTTAAAAAATGTACTTTATACCCACTTATTAATCTTTAAATACTGTATGCCTAACTGAAAATGCGCAAGATGGATGGATGGATGGATGGATGGATGGATGGATGGATGGATGAT